TGTGTGTGTGTGTGTGTGTGTGTGTGTGTTTTCACCTGTGTGTGTGTGTGTGTGTGTGTGTTTTCACCTGTCAGCTTGTGTTTGTTTTATTCAAAGCGCATCCAGAATGCTGGAGTGATCTGGTCTTCTTCACTGTCTCGTGTCTGCAGGAACCGCAGCGCAGCAGCTGGATGCATCCTTCAACACCAGCGCCGCTCTGGAGATCTTTGAGATGGATTTCGCTGATACATCCATGGACATGAAGCTCAGAGGAACTCTGCCCACTTCCAACAGGTCAGTTATTCACATACAGGTGAGGAAATTATATGTTATACAGTAAACCATTTAAAAGTTTGGGGATTTTATAATGTTTTTGAGTCTGCTCTGCTCACAAAGGCTGCATTAATTTGACCAAAAATACTATAAAATTGTAAAATATTATTTAAATTTAAAACATTGTTTTCTATGTGAATATCTGTTAAGGTGTAATTTATTTCTGTGATACGCTGCTGCATTACTCCAGTCTTTTCAGTGTCACATGATCTTCAGAAATCAGTATAATATGCTGATCTGCTGCTCAAGAAACATTTCTGATTATTATCAATGTTGAAAACAGTCATGCTGCACAATATTTTTGTGGAAACCGTGATGCATTTTATTTTTCAGGATTCACAGATGAATAGAAAGTTCAAAAGAACAGCATTTACTTGAAATAGAAAACGTTTGTAGCATTGTACATTTACATTTATTCATTTAGCAGACGCTTTTATCTAAAGTGACTTACATTTGCGATTCATCATAAAGAGGCAAATAAACACAGGAAGTGCTCGTGATACAAAGTTTCAGACATTGTACATTGGAAGTTCTATATGCATCCTTGATGAATTAAAGTATTAATCTTACTGAATCTTAAAAACTGAAAATTAAACTGAAAATGCAAAACAACCTTCCATCCTAGCATTGTGGCCATGACTTTTGCACAGAAAAGCACGTCTCACATTCTCTTCAGAATATATAGTGTAGTCAGTGCGCTCATCTGAAGGTGTGAGGTATTTCTGATTGTCTAGATGATGACTGGGTGTGTTTGGATGTTTATTACGATCTCTCTCCACACTGAACTGTACAGAAAACATTCAAAAACTTCCTCTGAGTTTTGACATGAAGTGGTGGAGTTACAGCAGCAGTTTGTTGACGTCTCTTCCTTGAAAGTGAATGTAGTTTTATATTAATAGCATCTTCCCCCGGCGGCGATTGAATAGCAGAAATCTTTAGTTTAGAGAGGAGAATGAGGCAGACGCGTCGTCATCACCTCTGTGTGATCTAACACACACAAACACACCGGTTTAGGTGTAAGGTGATAGAAAATACGGTTTGTACAGTATAAAAACCATTACGCCTATGGAATGTCGTGTGTGTGTGTGTCAGGTTTCACAGTCTGATCTGGGTGGCGTTTGATATGGAGGTGAAGGGCTCGTCCGGTCGGCTCATCGGAGGCAGTGAGAGCGGAACCGTGAGCGTCTTCAGCCCCGACGCTATTCTCAGCGCGGGAGAGGACGCCGTGATCGGACAGTCCAACAAACACACGGGCCCCGTGCACACACTCGACTACAACCGCTTCCAGGTACAGCCCAGACTCTCGCTTCAGATCCGATCACATCCGCTGATGCTTTCACAAACACACATGTGTGTTTCCTCCGCATCAGAGTAACATCATCGCCTCCGGAGCCAGCGATTCAGAAATATACATCTGGGACTTGAACAACTTCAGTAATCCCATGACGCCGGGCGCAAAGTCACAGGTATGAATGTGTTTGTGTGGAACTTAGGCCTGGGCGATAAAACGGTATCGATATTTATCGACGGTACACCTTCTTCGATGACGATATAAAAAATGTTCGATATAGTACACGATATAGGCACGTGCTCTGAGTGACGCAGACAGCACACACAAACACAAACACATGCTGAGTGCTGTGCTGCCTGTGATGAGGAGATTGTGAATAAAGAATGAATATTAGTCGAGTTTAAAATAAACATTTGCATTTGACTGTTATGTGTGCATCAGTGGAGCACGAGATGTGGTGATGATGATGCAAGTGACGTTGTTGTATTTTAATGTTTTGTCAGTCTAGCCCACGAGACGCGCCGCTGCTGCGTTATTCATTCAAAATATTAGAGGAATATAGAAGCTCAATTTTTCAGTGTCACATGATCTTCAGAAATCAGTATAATATGCTGATCTGCTGCTCAAGAAACATTTCTGATTATTATCAATGTTGAAAACAGTCATGCTGCACAATATTTTTGTGGAAACCGTGATGCATTTTATTTTTCAGGATTCACAGATGAATAGAAAGTTCAAAAGAACAGCATTTACTTGAAATAGAAAACGTTTGTAGCATTGTACATTTACATTTATTCATTTAGCAGACGCTTTTATCTAAAGTGACTTACATTTGCGATTCATCATAAAGAGGCAAATAAACACAGGAAGTGCTCGTGATACAAAGTTTCAGACATTGTACATTGGAAGTTCTATATGCATCCTTGATGAATTAAAGTATTAATCTTACTGAATCTTAAAAACTGAAAATTAAACTGAAAATGCAAAACAACCTTCCATCCTAGCATTGTGGCCATGACTTTTGCACAGAAAAGCACGTCTCACATTCTCTTCAGAATATATAGTGTAGTCAGTGCGCTCATCTGAAGGTGTGAGGTATTTCTGATTGTCTAGATGATGACTGGGTGTGTTTGGATGTTTATTACGATCTCTCTCCACACTGAACTGTACAGAAAACATTCAAAAACTTCCTCTGAGTTTTGACATGAAGTGGTGGAGTTACAGCAGCAGTTTGTTGACGTCTCTTCCTTGAAAGTGAATGTAGTTTTATATTAATAGCATCTTCCCCCGGCGGCGATTGAATAGCAGAAATCTTTAGTTTAGAGAGGAGAATGAGGCAGACGCGTCGTCATCACCTCTGTGTGATCTAACACACACAAACACACCGGTTTAGGTGTAAGGTGATAGAAAATACGGTTTGTACAGTATAAAAACCATTACGCCTATGGAATGTCGTGTGTGTGTGTGTCAGGTTTCACAGTCTGATCTGGGTGGCGTTTGATATGGAGGTGAAGGGCTCGTCCGGTCGGCTCATCGGAGGCAGTGAGAGCGGAACCGTGAGCGTCTTCAGCCCCGACGCTATTCTCAGCGCGGGAGAGGACGCCGTGATCGGACAGTCCAACAAACACACGGGCCCCGTGCACACACTCGACTACAACCGCTTCCAGGTACAGCCCAGACTCTCGCTTCAGATCCGATCACATCCGCTGACGCTTTCACAAACACACATGTGTGTTTCCTCCGCATCAGAGTAACATCATCGCCTCCGGAGCCAGCGATTCAGAAATATACATCTGGGACTTGAACAACTTCAGTAATCCCATGACGCCGGGCGCAAAGTCACAGGTATGAATGTGTTTGTGTGGAACTTAGGCCTGGGCGATAAAACGGTATCGATATTTATCGACGGTACACCTTCTTCGATGACGATATAAAAAATGTTCGATATAGTACACGATATAGGCACGTGCTCTGAGTGACGCAGACAGCACACACAAACACAAACACATGCTGAGTGCTGTGCTGCCTGTGATGAGGAGATTGTGAATAAAGAATGAATATTAGTCGAGTTTAAAATAAACATTTGCATTTGACTGTTATGTGTGCATCAGTGGAGCACGAGATGTGGTGATGATGATGCAAGTGACGTTGTTGTATTTTAATGTTTTGTCAGTCTAGCCCACGAGATGCGCCGCTGCTGCGTTATTCATTCAAAATATTAGAGGAATATAGAAGCTCAATGCAAGAAGATCTTAATTAGGTTAAAACCGAAACCAAGCCATTCACACAGAACACATATTCAGCACATTTTTAGACGGACGGCTGTGGAGGAATTTTGGCCCACTCTTCTGTAAGGATGGTTTTCCTACGGTGGTTCAGGCTGTAGGATTGCCGAATGACTAAAGAAACGTTATCAGCACGATGGTATAAAACTGTACATTTCTAGTCTATTACCACCCACTGCCACTTATACCAACGACGGAAATAAGCGCAGTTAGAATAGCTACATATGTGGGAGAGCGTTGCTATTGTGTGACTATTGTATTGCAATAGGTAACACTTTAAGATGAACCTTGAATCAAGACTAGTTAGCACATAATTAATAATTGAAATGGTTTAATAACAATATTTTGTTATGGTTACACTTGAATTGGTTACAAAATAGATGAAGGATGGTAAAGCATAGTTAATTGTACCCAACATGTAAAATATTACCTGAGAGAAAGAGATAGAGAGAGGAAGAAAAAGAGGGAGAGAGGGCAGAGACCCAAGAAGAGAGCCAGCCAAGGAAAGAGACAGAGCAACAGTTACAGTCCTCTTTTATCCCTTCCTTGACCATGTGACTAAAAACCAAATGTGAGACATTCAAACTGACCAATCAGCAGATTATAACTTCACCCACTGGGCAAGAGGTGTGACAATTAGCAGACCCCCGGTGTATACACATGTTGGCCTACAGGCCTTGATCACTATCAGCACCTCTGTGCCTTCAGGAATTCCAAATGGCCCTTTTGTTACTGAAGATAGGTTTGGGACAGGAAAGCAAAAGTCTTTGATAATTTTTGACCTTACAATATTATAATGGGTGTCTAAAGGGGTATAGATAGATATGTGAGATTGTTATATATTAATATTATAATGAATGGCTAATTAGGCAGAGAGATGTATGAGGTCGTTAAATATTAAAATATATATATTTTAATATTACAGTGGATGGCTAAATGGGTATAGATAGATATATGAGATTGTTAAATTAATATATATATTTTAATATTATAAAGGATGGCTAAATGGGTATATATATATACTGTATGAGGTCACAAAATATTAAAATGAATATATTTTAATATTATTTTGTGTGGCTAAACGGGTGTGTGTCTGTCTGTCTGTGTGTGTGTGTCTGTCTGTCTGTGAGTGTGTCTGTGAGTGTGTCTGTGAGTGTGTCTGTGAGTGTGTGTCTGTGAGTGTGTGTCTGTGAGTGTGTGTCTGTGTGTGTGTGTGTCTGTGTG